TTGTTTGAATGAAATGAAATAAGATTCATTCTTTATTAAAAACATTTTTAAAATGACACATGTATCTTGTGATTGTCTATAACAAGGGCTGGGAAATGTTTGAATATTGCTTATTACTTCTATTAATGATATGATGTTGTCATGTTCCACAAATCTACGTTGTTCAAGTGACGAGTGATGTGGTTTCGCACAATAGATTGCATTGGGATTGGGATCCAGTCGACCCACAGCAAATTTAATGTGGCTGGTCAAAAAATAAACTGCAGAACCTTGGGATTTAATTTGTACCCCCAAGAAGGATGGAGACAGAGACAAGTCTGTAATTTGCATTAAATTTGATACATTTCTAAGTTGTTACTGACTGATTACAACTATATCACCCAATCCTATCAATAACTTAGCTTGTGTGAATGTTACCAGGTTAAAATACAGAACATATTCTATCTATTTCATTTAATCACTTTTACAGATTTGATAAGAACTTTTTTTTTTGTCAGTTCTCTCTGACAGCTCTATAGTTTGTAATTTGTATTTTTTTCCCCCTTCAGTTCTTTAAATTAATCAAATTCAAGCTTAGTTTACCCATCCAGCAACTTATGTTGACCTCTTCTGTATCAGTTCTGTATCAAAGATTTCATCATTTTAAAAACAAACAAAAAACAGCTGTATTTTCTGCATTAAAAAAGAAAATTAACAGAACATACACTTCACTGGAAGAACATTAAGGAACATTTTGTGTAAATATTTAATAATGGGCTTTGTCTCTGTTAAATAAAGGACAACTAAAATAAATGGTGACATATTAAATTACTGTTCGGTTCCTTGAGGCAGGTGGTATTGTGAAGGAGAACTGCCAAAGCTCAGCAGCTTATTGGTATAGCTCCCCAGCTGAAAACTGAACCATGGATGTTGCAGTTATGTGGTATGCCCCTTAACCATTAGGATATCTGGTTTTAGAAAGATTGTTTATATATTTTCCAGTAAATAAAACAACAACAATATAAAGCTGCACCTTCATCTTTTTAAGATTACCATATCATTCTACAGGCCATGGCGATGCAGGTGTAGAAACTTCCCAAACCGTATTCCTTTTTCCTATTTCCCTAGTTGAAAACCATTGTTGTTGGTCTTAGCCACACTCCACCAATCAGGGGCTGTGTGGGCATGTGTGTGGCAGCTCTGATCTGATCTGATCTGATCTGATCTTAATAGAACAGTGGTAATCGTGACAAAAATCCTTTTTTAACATTGTCATATTTTAAATCCAAAATGTAGGTAATCATAATCTAATTTAACATCTAATTTCAAATGTAATTTGATTATAGTTGCTTTTGCTTTTTTTTTAAATCTGATTATGTATTCCCATAATCATTATTACATGTAATCAGTGACTACCTTATTACTTTTAACTATAACAATCATTTGAAGAAGTAGTGTGTGTTGTTTGAGCACATCTTTCTTATGAATATTAAATCTATGTTTTATCTTTTGACATTTCTGTGCTCAGTATCTTGTTACTTTACACCCAACACATATGCTGCACTACACATACATCTGTGATGAACTAAAATCATCTGATAACAAGCCATGCGGTTCAATAGGTCAGGCTCTACTTGACACAGACAGAATCAATAAAATCAATCTAAAATACTTTACTATAACCCCACCACTAGTGCAACAACTGCACACATGATGCACCTATTTGGCCAGCAAAGTGAGTTTTATTGTATCCTGTGAGCCCTGAAGAGAGATTTTACTCAAATATTCAACTGTCCTCTCCTTGGTTATTAATAACTTAACTATTTTATTGGTTCAGAGCATTGGAGCAAAGAGCAAAAAGAGTTAAATATAGTATTAAACTCACTGTTGTTGTACGGAGTAGAGAGAGAGGATTCTCCAGCAGTCAGCAGATGCCGGCCATCCTGCTCTCTGTTTACATCTGCCTCCTTCTGGTGGAGAGAGGAAGGACTGCATGGAGACACAAAGAGATGGGGGAGATAGAGAGAGAGAGAGAGATGCCCGCTGAACAAAAATACAACATATCAGCCGTTATCACAAAAAAGGACTGCAACAGAGTCAACAGAGCAAAGAGCAGTGTGTCTAAACTTTCAGCGCTAACGAAGACTCTTATATTGTACCTGCCCAAACTAAAGCCAGTTAGGGAGTACAGTCACACAAACAATATATAATTAATATATCCATTAAACTTAACACCTCCACAGAGCTGTTTCTAAAAGTGTTAGAAATGAAAGATTGCAAACTGCAGGTATCACTTTATTGTGTTTTTTGATTTTCTCTTTGAGCTTTTACTGTGTACACACGCAGGCTCAAACACAGTCATCAGTTAATCTACAATGCTATCATAGTTTTGTACATATGATTGCATGATGGTTGTTTTTTTGATTAGGATCTCGTTTGTACTCAGTTGTGTAAGAGATTAAAGAGGATGCCCCAAACACACCCGTTTAGAACACGACCTTTAAAAATACTGCTGAAACTGATTAGTAAATCTTTATCAATGGCCATAAAATTGATTGCCACCAACTTTGATAACTGATTTATTGTTCAAGTGATTTATGAGACAGAAACTCCAAACATTCTCTGGTTCCAGCTTCTACGATTTGAGGATTTGCTGCTGGGTTTTTTTTCGTTGTAAATTGAATATTTTAGGGTTTTGGATGTTGATCAAGCAAAATAAGTAATTTAAAAACATCATCATGTGCTCTGGGAAATTGAAGCGTATATTTTTTACTATTTTCTGACATTTTATAGACTAAACAAGGTGGTTTGGTAGTCTAGGAGAAAGGCAAATTAATGGCAATGTAATCTTTAAAAATAAAATGTCAAGCAAATATAAGTCATTAGAAATCACCTGTGACCACATGTTATGTTACTGAGAAACTCTGCCTCAACTTTACAGTTTCATCTCATAGTTTGTACTCATCTAAACACAAAACAAGTGGAAAAAGTAACTGAAAAGAATTAAACAAGCCCTCTGTGTTTTTCTATGTTCTCGATAAAACCATACCTTCTCGGACAGACCCTCTCCTCTCCCCTCTCGCTGCAGTTCATCAGCCCACTGTAGCAGGACGGCGGGCTGATGGCTGTGCAGAAGGCCGTCTCCAGGTAGCTGAGAGGCAACGTCCTGTTCACCGGCCTGAGAATCTGAGCTCCACTCCACTGGGTCAGGGCCGCCCTACTGCCCACGTAGAAGTGAACAAGAGCTGGTAAAGATTCAAAGGCCTCCCCTTCCAGGCTGTACTGGACCCGAGTGTACGTCTCACCAGACTGAACCACCGTCTTCCTGATGAGGAAGTGAAGTGTTTTCTGCTCCCAGTGGCTGGTGAGGACAACATCCCCCTGAGAGGACTGAGAGTCTCTGATGAGGAAGTCGCCGTGGTTCACCACCAGGCTCTCCGACACCTGTGGAGACATTTGAATCTTTCTTGGGTATTGGAACTACTATGCAACATTTTTATGTAAATACACATGTTCACACAAAAGGTTCATACAGCAGTATAGTGGCTTTACTGTAGTGGCCAACATTATGAGCTTGTATTTGTCACCTTGGGAGAAAAATACTGTTTTTAAGTGCTAATGAATTTTTAAAGGGTAACTGGATTAATTCCTGCTACACGTGTAGTCACCTGCTCTGTATCCTGATGCTTGCAAATTTCCCAGCTCTCCCTCTGCTCTGTCAATGCCTGCCCTTATACACATCTGTATTGCTGCTGCTGCTCTGTAAGCCCCACAACCACCCCAGCATTCACCTGTAGGCTCCGGCTAGGGGGTTTAAGGTTTTGCTCATCAGTCCCCAATATCT